CTGTGTACTAAAAGTTTGTATCGAGGAAGAATAAACTGGTTTAATCAAGAAAGGACTTGTATCGCTGAAGATTCTCTGAAAGAATTTCTACCGGAAACAAACAAGCAGATACGTAACACAACCATCTAATGTTTCATACAATAGATGGCAGTTTACCTGATAACGACCACACGAGTGGACAAAACAGTTATAACATTAATAAAATAATCCACTTAAAAAGCTGTGTTTCTGGACTTATTTAAAGTATATAGTGGATTTCCTCTCCTTACAACAAGGCCTAAAATTTGTGATAAAAATTAAGTAAACTGCATATGTTTGTTTTTCTCCACCTTGCTCTTGATTTGTCCATTTCAGATCCACAATCAGAGATGTGTAAAAATAGCAATTAAAGTCTATCATTTGTTTCCAATATCTGAACTTGTCAGTTGGGCTGGACAAGGAGAGACAAAATATTATGTGATTTTAGGCCTATTGGTTTATAATGCTTGCTAGCACTTGGCATTTAAACAATAACTTTTATTGAAGTATTATAACCCTTTCATATATAAATGGTGTGCACAAAAACTAAGTTGTTAGATTTCCAACAGACTCAGACTATCATTTTTGTCTCATTAAGTTAATGTGTCACCTTTTAATCCAACATAAATATATTGTCCATTACAAATGGTTGGTCCGATTAACATTTTCTGCTGTGGTCTACCCAAATGTTAATTGGAAAATGAATGGAACAACATTATGATGCAACAATAGAGATTTTTCTAAAACATCTTAATGTACATGATAAGTTTTATATTTTTCCAGGTTTTTCCTTAAGAAGTGTAAAATCTTACTGGCTGTGAATGAAGAGGAGTGTGCCAAACACATCCTAACTATAGTTAAGGTGAATTTCCAGTTTTTAATCTTCACTGATAAAATACTCAGAATATGTTTCAATTAAAACAGGTCTTATGCATTATATTTTGATGATGACTATTTATTCCTTGTAAACCAAAAATGAATTTTAATTTGTCTTCAAGCCTTATGGTGTATAACACCTAAGCTAGCAAAGCGTGAGCCGCTAGTTAGTAAGACAATATCTATTACCAAGCAATTTAATTTGTCATGATTGAATCATATTAACAATAACTGTAGAATTATAAAATGATTAATTTGATCAAGATGGGTTATTGAATTGGCAACTCCTATATAATTCAATGTCAGATCATAACAGTTTTCATATTATAATTTGATGGTTCATTCTGTTTGTGTATTTTGGATACCAAGATAATTTGAATAGTCAGATTGGTAATATACTGTAACTAATAATCACCTTATAATATTTATTATTGAAGAGTATAGATTATTGGGTTTGCAAACAACAGTACAATTGTGTCAGTTTGAGTTCTTAAAACATCTACTAATGGTCGTTAGTGAGTTTACCCTTTAACATGAATGATAAAGCACTTGCTTTGCATGCAAGAGATCTTGCGTTCAACCATACCCCCATGTGACGTGAAAAACAAGATTGTAACAATTGAAAGAACTTCTGTATTTTACTCTTTTATAACTAGCAAAGAATATGTATTTTTTTAGATATATTCTGGTAATTTCTCAAAATATGCATGCAGGGTGTTTTGCATATTGTTAATTGGTATTTTTTAGAGTTTGTATAAGCTTATAAAGGTCATGAATTTTGAGCCAAGGCCTTGTTTCACCTAACAGTCTTGCAAACTATCAAGAAAGAAATATGTAGGTCTTGAAAAATACTTAAAATGTTCACCCATTTGGTATTAATAAATGTTAAGAGAAAGAAAAAGAAACATCTGAAGCTATTTGCAAAATTCTACTAATTGATAGTTTTTAAAGCATCATTTTTTAAAAAATTATCTATCATAAAACTTCTTTTTTTTTAACCCTTTTGCCTTGGGTATCCTTTAATGTGCATGACACAAGGTTTTAGTGTCTTACATTCAAAATTTTATTAAGCTATTTTTAGTTATACCAATTACAATAGTGTTACGTATCTGCTTGTATGTTTGTTTCCAGTAGAAATTCTTTCCGAGGATCTTCGGTGATACAAGCCCTTTCTTGATTAAACCAGTTTATTCTCCCTTGATACAAACTTTTAGTACACAGTAGTTCTACAATCAGTACGTTTCTCATCACTTTAAAC